CACAAGATTTGGGTGCCACTACAGGACTTTGGTTGCAACAATGATCTATATGGTCCCAGTTTATGTCAATAACGTCACACCCCACCGCCCCATCCAACCCCCCTCCTTCCTGACTGCCCCCCCAGGACCCCTGCTCCCATTCAACCTCCCTGTTCGCCGCCCTCTGACCGCCCGACCCCTATCCCCACACACCCCTGAACTCCTCTGCCCTCTATCCAGTCCCCCGCTCCCTGCCCCCTTACCGCACTGCCTGGAGCACGGTGGCTGGCGGTGCTACAGCCGCGCCGCCCAGAGCAGCAGGATAGGCAGCTGCACCGCCTGGTTGGAGCCAGCCACGCCATCGTGCAGCTCCTGGCACGGGTGAGGCCGGGCTCTGTAGCTGCACTGCCCTGGGAGCTCACAGCCCAGAGCATTGCGCCAGCGGCGGGGCGAGCTGAGGCTGTGGGGGACACAGCAGGGGAGGGGCCGGGTAGCCTCCTGGTGCAGGAGCTCAGGGGCTGGGCAGGAGGGTCCCGCGGGCCGGATGTGGCCGGTGGGCCGTAGTTTGCCCACTCTAGGGTGTTGGTTTGGGCCTCTCTCCCCAAGCGGTGCCCAGATCGAGGTTGGGTATGTGGCGAACACCCTTGCCCTGCCCCTGCCCTCCCCTCCCCCAAGGCCCTACCTATGCCCTGCCCCTTCTCTGAGGCCCCATCCCCGCTCACTCCATCCCCCCTCCCTCTGTTGTTTGCTCTCCCCACCCTCCCTCACTCGCTCATTTTCACTGGGCTGGCTGAGGGGGCTGGGGCGTGGGGGGGGGGGTGAGGGCTCTGGCTGGGGGTGCAGGCGCTGGGGGTTTGGGATGCAGGAGGGGGCTCCATGCTGGGACCGAGGGGTTTAGAGGGTGGGAGGGGAATCAGCTGGGCTGGGGTTTGGGGTACATGAAGGGGTGTGAGGGCTCTGGCTGGGGGTGCAGGCTCTGGGGTGGGGCTGGGGGTGAGGGTTTGGGGTGCAGGAGTGGGATCAGGGCTGGGGCAGGGGGTCGGAGCCCAGGAGGGGGTCGGGGTGCAGACTCTGATTGGTGTTTACCTCAAGCAGCACCTGGAAGCAGCAGCATGACCCCTCTCTGGCTCCTACGCAGAGGTGTGGTCAGGCGGCTTTGCACGCTACCCTGTCCGCAGGTGCCGCCCCCGCAGCTCCCTTGGTTGTGGTTCCCAGCCAATGGGAGCTGCAGGGGTGGCGCTTGGGGCAGGGGCAGTGTGTGGAGCCCCCTGGCTGCCCCTAGGTGTAGGAGCTGGAGTGGGGACATGCCGCTGCTTCTTGGGAGCCGCGTGGCACGGAGGTGCTGACCGGAGCCGCCGGGATCCCTTTTCAACCACGTGTTCTGGTTGAAAACCGGACATGTGGTCACTCTATGCTCGCCGTGAGTCACGTGCCCAGAGCCCACCCAGCATCATCCCCCAGCCAGCTCCAGGGACGTCCTGCCTGAGCCCTGGTCCTGGGGGGCCCGATCCTTCAGGAGCCTGCACCAGCCTCTCCGTTGGCTTTGGCTCAGGCCTGGAAAGTTGGGGAAAGCCCCCTCGTTTCCGGGTGCTTCTCGGACCCTGGAGCCCGCGGCTCTGCCTGCCTGCCCTGAGCGATGCCCGTTCTCCAGCAGCACCAGGGCACGGAGCCCCTTGCTGGCCGGGGTCCTCGGCTGGGTATCTGGGCAGAGCCTCTACCCAGAGCCTCAGGGGTGATGGTCTCTCCAGCTCCTCATCTCCCCAGAGCCGGAGGGCATGTCATTTCTTCCCCACGCGTCCTAGCCTCCCCTGCCCCATCTGCCCCCGTGCCTCACCCTGGGCACCCTGGTGCTTTCCCTCCCCAATATGTCCTGGCCCCCTCTTTGGTCCTGATGCCGCAGCCCCTACCCTACTGCTTCATTTCTTCCACGGCTTCTCAGCCTAGCCCTTCTCTCATGGGTCCCCAAAGTCCCCTGCCCCCTCTGCAGCCTCCTGGTGCTGCTCCAGTGACCTGTGGGGTGTCCCCTGCCTGCTCCTGCAGCCCCTCCCCATGGGGCACGGGCTGATGGGCTCTGCCCTCCGTCCCCAGCGGGAACCAGGGGCTGTTGGATTCGATCCGGCCGACAGGCCGAGAGCCATGGCTGCCCTTGGGGTAGGGGGCCCGGCTGGTGCGGGGAACTCTGTGCAGGGCCGGCACGGGGCGGGGAGGGGGCTGCATGTTCCCAGGCAGCGGGGGACGCAGGGAGCCGGGGTGGTCCCGTCCCGCTCTTGGCTGCCGCGGCCCCGTATAAAAGGCAGCATTGTCTGGGGAACACAAACAGGGGCTCGGCCGGCCCTGCCCCGCTCGCAGGCTTTGTCGCGGGATCCTATTGAGCGCGGGAGGGGGGGGTGATGGGGCTGGGGCACAGCGAGAGGGGAGGCGGGCAGATAAGCTAGGGAGTGGGGGCTGGATCTCTGGCTGTTTTAGCAGGGCCTGGGGGTGCAGGGTGGACAGAGGGGGGCTGTGATGGGGGGGGATGCCGAGGGGGAGGGCAGAGGGGTAGGAGAGCAGGAGGGAGGGGGTGTGTCAGCGGAGGAGGGGGCGAGGGGGGTGCGCCAAGGTAGCGGTGCCAATTCTCTGGCCCCACAGGCACGGTGTGGGCTGGTTTCTGGCTCTCCCAGGCCTGGTCACGCAGCCTCTCTCCCTCCACCCCCGGCAACAAGGCGGCTGCTGGGGGAGCCCTTGGTGTGGGGGCTGGAAAGCGCCCCTATGAGAGAGGACCCAAAGGGAGTGGGCAGGATCCTTCCTGCCTCCTGGCCTAGGTGCAGGTGATGTCCAGGTATCTGCCAGCCCCAGCCGCGTGCCAGGCACCTGAGGGCATGGCCCCCTGACCCCAGGGGCGCTCTGCATGGGAGGAAGCAGCGGGCAGGCAGCTGGGGTGCCATGGGGAGCTGGCATGGTCCATGAAGGGGTCACTCCGCTGCTCTTGGCTCCGGCTGCAGTCCTGGGGGCTGGGACGTGCCCCCTAGGAAGCGGCTGGAGATGCCCAGCAGGCAGCCAGGAGAAGGACACAGTTGACTTAGGCTGGCTTTGAACCAGTGCCCCAAAGGGGGGTGTGTGTGTCTCTGCCCCATTCCTGGCTCCTCCGAGCCGCCTGCTCTCCCTGCAGCCTGGGCGGGGCCCGCCTCTGCAGGAGAGCGTTTAGGGACCGGGCAGCTAGGGTGCTTGGGGTGAGGCGGGCACATGTGGACTCAGATGTTTCTCCAACCCCCTGGTGTTTGCAAGCCGGGTCTGGAAACCTCCTGAGGACAGGAGCTCTGGGGAGTTTCCCCGGCGTGGGCCAGCGGCTTTCCCTTGCCCGGGGCATCCTGGCACGTCTGCTTCCGCCGGAGTCCGGGTGCAACTGAAGCTGGGAGGGCAGGTGTGGCACTGGGGGGGGGAGCCGGCGTCCCGTGGGTCTGGGGTTGGCATCAGGCCTCGATAAAGGTGTCAGGCTGAGCACCCCTCAGCGTCCCCCCAGCTCCCACCACCCCTGCACTGCAGGAAAGGGCCGACCTTTGCAGTGTTTAGCCCCAAACGGCTTCCTCCTTCCCCCTCCCCTCCCCTTTGCGTCTTTCATGGAGAGCTGCCGGCCCCCGGCCCCCTGCTTCTCCAGGCCCAGGCACATGTGGAAATGGGATGGGAGCGAACGCGGGTGTGTTGGTGGAAGGAAATGGGAACCAAATGTTGGCTTGGACCTTGGGGGGAGAATGCGCTTCCAGGGCGAAGCCGTTCCTAACGAGGGCCTGGCTCGGGGGCGCCGGGCCCGCAGCTGGTTGGGACGTGCAGGAGCCGATTGCTGGCCGGAGCCCTGTGCAGGCGGAGAACGGTGCCCGGCTTTGCTGGAATGGGGGGGCCCGGTGTCCTGGCCTGGCTGGCACTGCCCTGGGCTTTTTCAGGGCTCCGCCTGTCACGGCGGGGATCCCGCGGCCCCCAGAGGTTTGTGTCCTTCGGCTTTGGGGGGCTGAGCTGGGCAGGAATAGGGGAAGTGCAACAGGCCAGGCAAAGTCTTCCCATTTTGTCCGTGCCTAGCTACGCAGGGTGATCGGCTGGCTAGCACGGGGGGCTGGCAGTGAGGGGACCCAGCCATCTCTCATCGCCAGGTGGCCCCTTCCAAAGCGGGTTCTCATCTGATGGCTGCTTGGACCCACTGGAGTAGTGCCCACGTCCCCCGACCGCCACCCCACCTGGTACTACCTTTCTTGCCAGTCCCCCCGAGAGACCAAGGGCTGAACGTCTGCAGCGACTCGACCCCCAAGGCCCTGAGCGGGGGCTGTGGGCAGCTCAAAGTCTGCCCTTGTTCCAGGGACACGTGGGGGACCTTGGTCTCGGGCTGGCACCTTTCTCCCCCCCTCCAACTTTTTCCAAGGGGGGAGGGAGCCGGAAAACGGCCCGTTGAAACCCGGCAAAGTCCACGCTTTGCCGACAGCCTGGAAACGAATCTCTCCCGGCGCCGAGCTGGGCCAGAGCCGGGAACCGGATCTGCTCCCGGCCCTTCAAAGCGAAGGCTGCTTTGGCAGCTCCAAGGTGGGGCAGGTGGAGAGGGGATTGCCCTGCTGGGGGCAGGTTTTTCTCCCCCCCTCCCGGGGTGCCAGCGGGGAGATGGGGCTGGCAGCTGCCTGGGGAAATCCGGGCGCTTGGGTTCTTTAAAAAGGGCCAGGCTGTGCGGCTGGGGGAGGATTTTGTAGGCGCCTGGCAGGGTTCTCCTCCAGGCACCGCCTCCTCCTCGGAGGCGAAGGAACTGACCCAAGAAGAAGAAAAAAGCTGGAGTGACGGGGGAAGGAGGCAGGGACTAGCGGAGCGGCCGAGACGCACACTCGGATGCTGCCTGCCGGAGAGATGGGCTGGCATCTCCTCCGGCGGGGCTGGCCCAGCTGCCCCACCGCCGCCCCGTGCCCTGGGCTGCCATGCCATCGGTCTCGCTGAGCCTGCCGGGGGCCCGAACCGGCGCCAGGATGACCTGGGTTTGCTTGTCCTGCATGCTCTGGGTAGGTGGAAGTTGGGCGACCTTGCCTGGGGACAGGCCGTTCCCCGGGGATGAAATTCAAGGGGGGAGGTGAATTGACAGGGGGGCTGGCAAACGACTAAACTGGCAATGCTGCGAGCACTTGGGGGGGGGGGGTAAGGAAATCCCTCTCTCTCCCCCAGGCTAGGCTGTACAGTCACCAGCTGGGGGACGAGACACACTTCCCATCGGGGGGGGCTGAGCCCACGGCCTAGGCTGGGTTGATTTATGGTCTCTTGGACGGACGTTCCCGGCAGGGCAGCTGGAGGGGAGCGTGTGGGGGGCTGTTTCTATCACCCCCCCCTGCTCACGCCAGTACATGGATTGATTGCCAAGCGTTGGTTACAAGTGTCTGCAGCCCCGACGGGCGAAGGGGGGGTGGGGTGGGGGGATAGCAGCACTGTGCCCTAAGAAGGGGGTTCGGCGGGAGGCTGCTTTGCGAGGAAATTCTTGAAGCTCTCAGGGAGCATGTGGCTACCGGTGCTGCTAGCCAGCTAGCCGTGCTGGGGACGGGAGGAAAAGTTTTGGGCTGGGCCCGGCTGCTCTGGTCTTTTCTCCGCTCCTTTGGTAACTGCTCCAGCATCACTTTTTTGGGCACCTGATTTTGCGTTTCGGGTGGGGGGGGGGTTGTCCACCTGGGGGTCCCTGCTCTTTTCTTCCCTCTCCACAACCTTGGCGGGAGCTCAGCACCTCGCAGGGTCGGGCCCAGGGAGGTGCCCCCCGGTGTGTCTGTGTCTCGGTGTGCTGTAGGGGGCTGGGGGAGGGATAGTCCGGGCCCCCCCGTCCCAGTGCCACAGACAGCGGGGCATGGCCGGGTGACTGGTTGCTGGGGGGAATGGGATCAGATCCTGCTGTGGGGCTGAGCTGGTGTGTGCAGATCTGGGGGGGAGGAGGGGGCACCCGGGAAGGGCCATGGGGGGCGGGGGGCAGGTTTTTTGCTGTTTTATTCTTGTTTTATTGCCGACGGGTCCGGGAGCCTGCCCGTGGCCCCAGACCCACTGGAGAGTCCCTGCCCCATAGCTCTGCTCTGTGTCACTTCCATTTCCTCTGGCAGCCCCCGCCTTCCTCTCTGTCCCCCCAGACACCCCAGTGCGGCCCCTTCCTCCAGCGAGCGTCCCACTCACACCACTGCTGAGACTGGGAGTGGGGGCGCCGGGCTCTTGTCCCGTGTGACGACAGCTGTGTGACAAGCGCCCCATCCTTCCCAGAGCCCCTCTGCCCAGGCCCTCCAGTAACCCCCCTTGGTAGCACCATGGCCCTGTTGCCGTGGAAATGCTTTTTTTGGGGGGGGTCCTGGGCTGGCAGATCCAGGAGGGGCTGGGGAAGCTCCCCTCGGCCAGACCTACCTGGGCCCGTCTCCAGCTAGGCTGGACTGAGCGCTGGTCCGGACGGGGCCTGTTCTAACCTCAGGGGGAGGAACCAACAGCCGGGGCAGGTGGATTTGGAGGTGGTCACAGTCCAGGGATAAGTGGGGGGAGTGTAGGAGAATTGGGGACACGACAGCAGAGATCTGCAGCTAGAATGGGGGTTGGAGCTTTCTTCCCCCAGCCGACTCTTTAACGAGCTAATGAATAACCCGCTGCTGACGTCAGGGCTCGTGAGGGAGGGGAGAGCTCTTTGCACCGGTCTAGTCCTGCTTGTTCGGGGTCGAGCTGGGGCGCAGAGGATGCCAGGCCGTCTCTGAGAGGGGAAGCTGGGGACCTGTGCAGGGGAAGGTTGGGCAGGCTGCTCTTAGAGGGGGTTCTGTCTCCTGGATCTCTCTCTCTGGGGCGTTGCCTGGGCCCCCCATCCCTTCCACTGTCGCCCCCTTGCAGGGATCATTTAGCTGGGAATTGGTCCTGCTTTGAGCAGGGGGTTGGACTAGATGACCTCTTGAGGTCCCTTCCAACTCTGATATTCTATGATTCTATGATTGGAGCTGGTGGGGCTGGTCCACCTCTGGCACGCTGGGGTTTTGGTGGGTTCTCAAGGACCTCCATTGCTAGTGAGGAGATGCACGCGGGCCGGGGCAGGATCCGAGTGGCCGTGGGCTCACAGCACGACCGTGGCCTCGCTGAGCACTTTGGGGTCCGACCCTGCCGCTCCCGTGGGGAAGGGCAACATCATCTTCGAGCCGTTCGACAGCTGAGTGAGCGGAAGCCTGGGAAGAGGTGGCCTGTGTGATCTGCGTTTCCGAAGCCCCCAGCAGTAGAACCTTCATTGTACCAGGCACAGGCCAAACGAGAGACAGTCCCTGCCCCACAGAGCTTGAACAGAAAGACAGAGGGTGGAGGGGAAAGGGGCACTTGCCTGAGATCACCCAGCAGAGCTAGTTGCAGAGCGAAGAATAGAACCCAGGTGTCCTGACTGCCTTAGCCACTATCCCAGCCAGCCTCACAGCAGCTAAGCGTGGCCGTGGATAGATCTCAGGGGCTCTCTTGGGCTGGGACAGCCTGTTTTCTGGACCTTTGAAAGTGCCAAGCAGGATTTAAAGCAGTGGGAGTGTGGTGAAAAGTAGAGGGGAGCTGCTTCTTTCCAAAATACATCACAAAAATAGTTTCTGAACACTTCTGCCTTGTCTGTATTATTAGGGATAATTCTACCATCCTGCTCTAGACCACAACTAAGTTCTTTTTGTTCCTGATAGATTGAAATCACACATTCTCCTTATTATCCTTAACCCAACTAGCCAATACCTTTAGCTTCCCTTATCAGTTGTCTGCCTGTCATAATGGCTCATTCAGAGACGTTGCTATCAATGCCCCCCTCTTTTCCACATATGGCTGGATCTGGGGTGGAGTGCTCTTTAATGGTCAGAATAAAAGATGGGGAGTCGGGACCCTGGGTTCTGTTTTTGGCTCTGCTACTCGCTTTATCTTTTCACAGTTCTCCTTTTGCTTTTGCCTGTCTGGAAGGCCCGTTGTGTCGAGATGTTTTGGGGCATGGGTGGGGATGTCACCTCTCGTCTCCTGCTGCAGGGACTTCGATGCTGTCCCTTTCCTGGCTTATCTAGTAGTGAGTCACCTGCAGCCAAGGCCTGGCTTTGCTTTGCGCCGCCTTATCTTAAGCAATTAGAAATAAAACCTAGCGTGACAGCTTGCGGCGTTGGGGGCACGCGAGCGGGCGGCTGTGCTCGCCTGGCAAGAAGCAGAGAGTGCCCATGTGGCTGAGGGCAGTGATGGGGCAGCTGAGAGCTAGATGCCTGGACGAGACCCCAGCACTGGGATTAGCTAGATTAACACCTTTCCTCCTGTGCTGTGTGCCGGGTAATAATGGGAGAGGACTCCAGGCCTGTGAAACCTAACAGAACCATTGACAGAGGTGCTGTGATTGCCGCCGGCATTCCAGCCATGTGCACTCAGACTGACTGCCCACTGCCTCCTCCAAACTCGTCCCTCCTCCACCCTGTGCTCCTCCTGCCAAGTTCCCTGCAGGGGGCTTCACTTCCCAGTGCATCATGGGAAAGGAGCAATGTGCTCTGGTGTGGCCAGTGGGTTGGTTTTTGGTTTGTTTTGGCCGTGTTGTGGCTTAGCTCAAGAAGAGGGGAAGTGAGGAGGGCTGGTGCCCCCTAGAGCCGGGAAGTGACTGTGGGGTCTTGGGGGCCCTTTGCACCCTGGGTCAGTGATAGGTGGTTGACACTTGTTGTCTAGGGTGCAGTCGGTGTCCCAGCGAAGAGGTGGGACGACGCCCCAGGACAGAAGTGCACGATCGTCTTGTTTCGGGGCAACCCCTTTCTCCTCCAACCTGGTATGATGCCGGCCTGGCCAGCTGTTGGCTGGGAGCCGTGTGAGGTTGCGGGGTCGATTCAGTGGCTTATTGGTGTGAGGAGCGTTGCTGCGGTCGATACAGTCGGTGTGCGTGGGGGGTGGGGAATGATTCCCCATGGGGCCGGGGGGGCAGAGTGACCGTCAGTGTCTCTGCGGTTCATGTGGGCAGAGAAGGCAGGTGGGACGAGAGGAAGCAAAAGACCCTGTTTAAATGTGAACCGGCTGGGTCTGGCTGTGTGCACCCAAGCCGGGACATCTCCTGCAGCAGGGACACGTGGACACACACACAGATCAGGGCTGTTCCCTCCAGCAGGGGGCAGCAGAGACCCCCCCCATGATGTGCACACACTGTGATTGGGGTTCATCCCCTCCAACCGGCTGCCACGCACGGACGCACCCCCCACACACCCCAGGACTGGCCTGTCTAGTGCGGCAAGACTGACGGACAGTTCCCTTGGAAGGAATTTTCCTGACCTAGCTGGGCCTGTGATCAAATGCAGCGGGAGGGAGCGGAGAGAGGCCGGGGTTGGCTTGGAAAGCTCGGGGCTGCAGGCTGCCCGTCGTGTCCCTGAGCCAGGGGAAACTGGCCCTGCATTTCGGCCTCTCCGAATGCCAGTGGCGGGGCTCAGCCAAATCCGCCTAAGCAGCTAATTAGGGCGGGCACGCGCTGGGGCTTCTGCCGAGGCAGGCTGGCGAATGGCCCGTGCCCCCAGGGCACGTCATTTGCAGCCTTTTGCATCCTGCCAGCCCCCTAATTCCTTCCTCATCCAAGCACGACCTCCTGCACCCCCACGGCCGGTTCCGAGCCTTGCGTTACTGCTGCCCCGGCCTTTGCAGCCGTCTGGATCGCTTTCAAAGCCAACCCCTTTCTCTCCCTGGCTCTGCCTAGGCAGAAATCGCAGGGAAGCGAGGCCCTTGTTCCGATCCCAATTCAGGCCCTACCACAGCAGAAGCTTTTGCCACTCTCCTCAATTTCGGTTCTGCCTTGCGGACATTGCTTCGCCTGTCTCTGAAAGGCAGCCGCCTCTGGGGTGGAGCATGGCAGCTTTTGAACGGCCCACAACAACGCGGTGTGACAGTAGGCTGGGAACTGAGGAAGAACAGTCAAAACTGCGTGGGGAATTCAGGGAGGCAGACTGGAATACTAGGGTATATAGAATACCTTGTCCTACCAAAAAACCCATCATGGGGTCTTGAATGGGCCTTGAAAACTGCCTGGGCCCTTGCGTTGAGATGG